GTTGCTATGGCAACAAATAGACTGAAAATATGGCAATTTTTACACATAAACTGGATCCAGTGTTAACGCAAAAAGTAATAGAAATATTTTTATGAAACTTGTAATATGTGTAGATGGCAGTCTGGAGATTATACACGTCTTTTTCTTTTCTTCCTGTGTTGAAAATTCTGGTTGCTATGGCAACACATATACTGAAAATATGCAAATTTTACACATAAACTGAATCCAGTGATAACTCAAAAAGTACTGGAAATAGTTTTATGAAACTTGACATGTGGGTAGATGGCAGTCTTGAGATTGTGCATGTCTTATCTGTTCTTCCTATTTTGAAAAAAATATTGGTTGCCTTGGCAACAAATAGGCTTAAAACATGGCAAATATAACAATATTTGTGATTAGTCAAAAAGAGCTGAAATTTTTTATGAAATTGCATCTTTAATTCCAGAGTTATCTCCTCTTTAAGAATTTTGCTTTTTAAAATGTTATATTTTGGTAACAGGGATGTTTCAAATATTAACTTTAGAGTGTCCTTCAGTCCGTCTGTCTGTCTGTTCATAAAAACTTTTTCCTGTGATCACTTTTAAAGAACATTTCCAACAAATTTACTTAAACATTAGTGAATGGCCAATTGCCCTTCAGAATGCTGATGGGGTTCTAACCGGTAGGGGACTTATGGATTGCTTGCAATACTATGATAATTGCTTGTTTTTCAAACTTTTTGTCCGGAGCTTATCTCAAATAGTGTTAGAGGTATTAACATGAAACTTCATAAGTCTAAGATAAATCTCATTGAGGACGAGTGCGGCACACACCTACCCTGCATTATTTTTCAGGTATTGCCCTTTGCTACTTTTCATACTTAATTTCGTCCAGAGCATAACTACAAAAGCCTTTGAGATATCAACATGAAAATGTGGATAGATCTCACTCAAGAGGTATGCAGTACACAAGAATGATAAATTATTCTGCTCTACCACATATGCATGGCTCTTGTAACAAGTTACATTACAATACTTAATCAAAGGGCTGCAGCTCTATGGTATTTTCTGATCTTTGCAATCTAAATCATACTGACTATCTGTATGTACTTTCCTGTATAAGTTTAGTTTTATATACTATTATTCATCTTACGCAGCGACAGCGTTTTGATTTTCTTCTATAACAGTTTGAGATTTACATATGGAATTTTGCATGAAAAAAAATTGCCTCGACTAGAATTTGAACCATAGGCCTCTCACACCCTCAACGAGACCGCTTACCTCTGCACCACGGCGAAGTTATACATATGAACCTTGAATAAAAACGAATACATTATGTAATTCTAAATTGAGAATTTCCATTTCGTGTTTGTAATCCTTATTAATTTCGAGGCATTTTGTTCACGATAAACGTGTTGTTTAACTGTAATATTTCTCGTGTAACTTATGTACGTATATTTATTATGGATACGGAGTTCAGTAATTCACAAATGTGAATAGATTGAAGTAAGAACACAGATCTATGTGAGCTTTTCAAGTTTAATCTCAGAAGTGGCTAGTGGCGGGAATCGCCTGTCTATACATAAGAACTGCCCATTCAAGCATTAATGGAATAGTACTGATAGTATAAAGGTCAAGGTAAAATAATCATGCAGGTTAGACTAGTATCTGATATTGTTACAGTTTAACACTGATGAAAATAATTTATCGAAAATCTTCTCGCCAAAACAGTCCGACATGACTTTGTATATATTCCACTACTCGACAGTCAGATTTATTTGTGTACTACGCTCTGGAGTATTCGGTAATTGGCATAGCTAAAAATAGCATTTTCATTGATTAAAATGATATTCATGATAATCCGAAGCTTTACGGAAATAGCCGAACATTTTTCATTGGGTAAAAAAGATATTCATCCGCGAAATTTGTGATTGTAACCTCATATTTCTATTGACTAATCTAAACTTTTAATGCACTGTAATTCGTTAAATGCCTACATTAAAAATTATTCTTTCTTTTAAATTGCTGGTTTTTAAGCAGTTTTGAGTGAGAACTACTTTGCGTTGTTAGGACTGTTAGGAAATTTTGTGTTAGACCGTGGGAGTTAGCTATGTATTTACTGATCATACGATCAGAAAATACAAAAACCTTCTTAACAAGTTAACCTGTCAATTAAACTCGATGCTATTTGAACATACCTTAACATTATACTTATAACTGTTTTTTTTTTGGTATTTTTTCTTTTTTTCGCCGTGACAATCACATTGCTGCATTTCCCAGCAATTTTTTACTTGTATGTTATTCTTAAGACTCTATTTAGACTTTCATAGGAGAAATCCTTAAAAGGATTGTTCTTGCTAGAAACAACACAATTCAGTTTATATCATAAGTTATCTTTACATAAAATATTGATAATCTGAAAATCAATTGGACAAACTTGTTTGCTCAAAAAAAAATGAAATTGAAATGTAAAATTGTTTATTAGATTGAAGAGTTCACGCAATTTTTGACAACATTAACGAAAGAAAGACAAATTATTTTTTAAAGAGATTTACCATTTTTCCAGTTAACCTGGTTTGACAAAGGTAGATTTAAATGCATTGTTCCACCTATGGATGGAAGCAACAAAGTCGAATATCACCGGAGGTCTCGGTTACTTTGTTTCTTAAAAAATGTCATAATATTTTTCTCACACGTATCCTAGGGTCACTAGTTGATCATTTATTTCGGAAGAATATATCTCAGAAACTATATCTACGCCGTTACTTAAACCTTTACCTTTGATAAAACAAAATATTTCTACGTACTTGAGTACATCGCCTTATTCTGGTAATGATGATGGAAATCAACTCGTGGAATGCAGTGTCAAAGGTTATGCTCGCTCAGTATTTGTTGAGATTGTTTTAGACATTTGTTTTTAATTTAAAATGAAGCATTTTATTTATAATATGTTTCTAAAATACTGAGAAAATGCCGACAAGTTTGAAAAATTAACTTCACAGAATTGACTTGCAATTTTTCTTTTAAACGAGGAATAATAATAAGTCAACAAAATCATATTTATTGTGAATAAAATATGCGATTTAATCGTATCCCTTCACATCTTTCATGATTCCGTTAAAACAGCAATGGCACGGCGGTGAAATTCGATTATGTGACGTCACTTGCATTATAAAGAAAATGTCGTAAATGGCTTAAAGCAAGAATTACTCTATAAAAGATCAATTTAAAACACAGAAATTTTAACTTAACCCTTTACCTCATATATACGCGAAACAACGCACTTTCGACCCCCCCCCCTTTTTTTAGGCCTCAAATAGTGTAAAAATGTCCTATTTGGGCCCCAAACACATGTTTTCGTTTGAGAAATGTTGCTAAAAAAATAAGCACTTTTTCGGCGCCGACCCCCATCCAAAAGATACATTAGGGGGTTGCCAGAAGGGGGATGTGCCCCCTTCTGTTAGGGGGGTTTGAAGGGGGGCGGAGTCCCCCTCATCGCCAAGAAAATTTTGGACTTGTGAGAGGCTAAAAATGACCCCAGGTCAATCATAATGTAACGTGTAACCAACGCTGAAAAGTCTTTGACTCTATCTCAATCCTTTTAGAAGTTGCAGCACTTTGAAATAAATTTTGATGGAAAAAATCGAGGCAAAATAGTGATTTTGGCAATTTTGAGATGTCCCCTTGTTGCCATGGTAACAGGAAATTTAAGACTGAGCATGTCGTTACAAAGGCAATGGTCCAGTCAACATTTGTGCCAAGTTTGATAAGTATTGAAGCATTTTTCATAGTTGCATAGCAGTTTGAACTTGTAACAGGAGGCTTTTCAATGAAAACGGCCATTTTTCACAATATGCTCATGGGGGAAAGGGTTAACTAAAAAAATTATAAATGTTACTAAACAACAATTTTTCACCAAAATTAGGTGAAAGACCAAATGTTAACATGGAAAAACTAGTTTTTAGGTGATTCCAAAGTTTTTCATCATTTTTGTTAACTAAAAAAATTATAAATGTTACAAAACAACAATTTTCACCAAAATTAGGTGAAAGACCACATGTTAACATGGAAAAACTAGTTTTTAGGTGATTCCAAAGTTTTTCATCATTTTTTGTTAACCCTTTACCTCATATATACGCGAAATAACGCACTTTCGACCCCCCCTTTTTTTAGGCCTCAAATAGTGTAAAAATGTCCTATTTGGGCCCTAAACACATGTTTTCGTTTGAGAAATGTTGCTAAAAAAATGAGCACTTTTTCGGCGCCGCCCCCATCCAAAATATACGTCACGGGGGTTGCCAGAAGGGTGATGTGCCCCCTTCTATTAGGGGGGTTTGAAGGGGGGCGGAGTCCCCCTCATCGCCAAGAAAATTTTTGACTTGTGAGAGGCTAAAAATGACCCCAGGTCGATCATAATGTAACGTGTAACCAACGCTGAAAAGCCTTTGACTCTATCTCAATCCCTTGAGAAGTTGCAGCACTTTGAAATAAATTTTGATGGAAAAAATCGAGGCAAAATAGTGGTTTTTGGCAATTTTGAGATGTCCCCTCGTTGCCATGGTAACAGGAAATTTAAGACTGAGCAATTCATTACAAATGGTCCAGTCAACATTTGTGCCAAGTTTGATTAGTATTGAAGCATTTTTCATAGTTTCATAGCAGTTTGAACTTGTAACAGGAGGCTTTTCAGTGAAAACGGCCATTTTTCACAATATGCTCATGGGGGAAAGGGTTAAACATAGTACTCTTTAAGGTATGTGATAAATAAAAATTATCGTGTGGGTTCAAAACTAAGGGGCTCCCACAATAAACTTTTATTTAACTCGTTCCGGTTTAAACCTACACCCATTCAATATCCTCTATTTTACACGCATTTGTGTGTAACCTCTCTTTCTATAGAGACTGACAAAAAGGTCATTGCAAATAATATCTATTATTGCAACGAAATACAGGCACGATGTCAAATCCTCTGACTTCCCTGTTAATCTTTTAATAAAACATGAATAAATATGTGAATTTTAGGAAGAGTATCTGAAGTTGTCTGTACAGACGGAGGAAATGAATGTGACACAATTGTTCATTCAGCATGTGACGTTCCAAGTCTAAAGTGTAAATGTGGGACAACCTACGCCGAAGACAGTACAGATGGAAGCACATGTGTTATGAGTGAGTTACACATTACAACACTTATTTGTTTTGAACTTCTCTGTCAGATTTATTTAAACTTCACTATCAGGACATACTCTTACATTAGTTATACATGTTATCCATTCGCAACGTTTGAGGTTTAAAACATTAATACATAAATCACCTGTTTATTTCTGGTCGGCCAAACGTTTTTATAAATAAGTTATTTGATAAAATTGTGCCGATAGTCCTCTTTTCCTTAGATTTTATTATTACATTTAGTGGGTTTATTCCTATATTGCCGGTACAAATATGCGATATTGAGTTCAAATCTTTAATATGTAAGTACACCATACATAATTAATAATTGATAAGATTTAACAATTCATTTAGAACCATTATTTAAAAAAACGGACATAGTTTACTATTTGTAAAATAACGGGATAGTTCGTGCTCTGAATAATTCGAATTTATATTTCTCTTTGTTGTTTCATTTTAACACCTTCAATAAACGATCATCAAATATTACTTCTTAATAGGGTAAAAATAGAGCTCAAAGCTTCGGTCAGTCAGTCTGGGAATGTTTAATAAATATAAATTATTGCTTGAAATCTGGTTATATTTAAGAAATGAATCACTTAAACATTGATTCAGGTGTACACATTGAGTTAGATAAAAAAACAAAGCACGTTCCTGTTATAAAAACAACTTTTTTAATTTAACTAAATTCAAAAGTTTGAACGAATAAGTTTTTAATCATTTGTGACCATTCAACTGACAACGAAGCCATAACATAAGAATACCTATCTAACATTAAATTTGAATTGCTCCAATCATTTCATTTGTTAGAGTTTAACAGCTAGGCCGTGCACGTTATATAATCATGCAGCCAATACTATGCTTATCACTTACTGACATTTGTTTTCAACTACATATATTGACGAGATACTGAACTTATCAAGACCTTACCAAGTCTTCAAAAGGGTTGAATAATGTAACATCCTAGAGTATTAAACGTATTAATTAGTCTAGTTGATTTTCTTTTATCTTCAAAGAAATGAAATCACATTACAATTTTAATTTTAAATCAAACGCTTTGCTACTTTAAGAGGTAGCTAGCATTGTTTGCAGTGAAAATGGGTCCCAATGTGCCTCTATTGACCATGCCGAGTGTGACCTCACAGCAACAAAGTGCAAATGCAGTGACGGGTTCAAGATGACTGCTGACAAATGTGCTCCCGCAGGAAACACAGGTATGTAAAGTTATGTGAACATGTAGTTGGGTAAAAAACGGTGCATACATAGATTTAAAAAGTACATGAATCTTTTTGGTTATATATGTGAGCATGGGTAAAATCATAATAATCGCAACTGACATCAGTTTGCAAATACTATTAAAATAAATGTGTATGCAAACGGTGATAAAGTCTGAATGTAAATCTTTTTATAATATCTTAATAACGAAATTTTCATATAATTTATTTAATTATGCCCCCGCCGTTTAAGAAGAAGAGGAGTATAATGTTTTGCTTATGTCGGTTTGTCTGTCGGTCGGTCGGTCCGTCCGTCCGTCCGTCGGTCGGTCGGTCTGTCCGTTTGTAAACCACATGGTTTCCGCTGATTATCTTAAAAACTATTAAACACAAAGTCTTCATACTGTTTGGTCACAACAAGTAGATAACCCCTATCCATTTAACAATCAAGGTCACATGGGCCTTAAATGTCATAATGGTTAGCGCTTATTATCTTGAAAACTATCACAAAGTCCTCATATTGGTAATAGATAAATGCAATTTATTGTGGGGTCACTAGTTCTAAGATCAAGGCCATAGATGCCTTAAATGTCAGAATGGTTTCCACTTATTATCTTAAAAAACAATTCATCACAAAGTCTTTATATTTCATGTACTGATTGGTCATATCTAAAAAAGTAACCGTTACTGATTTTGGGGTGACTAGGGCAAAAATGATGGTTACATGTGCATTTAATGTCAGGATTGTTTTCCGCTCATTATACTAATGATAGATTTCATTCAGTTTAAGGTCATACATTGGTCATTAGTTTTCGTTTTCCATAATTGAACACTTCAATGTACCAACATCTGGCATGTTTATATAACAAAATTACTAATAGTACGAGCACTAAAGTGGGGGGGGGGGGGCATAATTTTTGTTCTTGTGAAATGCACTCAATTTATAATTTAGTATTATACTGTTTAATGCAATTTCTAAAATAAGGTTAACAAGTATCCACAAATCTTACCCGTATTTCTAAATTACTATTGCATGTATTCTAGGCTTAATGAGGGTCCATCCGCCCTTTCAGGCACTGAGAGTACGGACTAAAAAAAATTCTATAGCCCCGTCCAAAATATTTATACTTGGTAAAAGGCAGGATGTGTGAGACAAGATAAAGGGAAAATGCGATTTTGTTGTAATTATTGTTGTTGCATTTTTATTTATTCTAAGCATTGTTTATTTAAAGGTGTGTCAGCAAGTTTGGCATATACCGTGCTTGCACTTCCTGTCATTCTGGCAATAAAGGTGACGATGATGTAAATTTGTCATTCATAAGTTTGCAGGTAAATATGTAGTATTACAAATGAACATTCAAGTTTGCATCAAAAAAGTGCATTGTGTCTTTGTTGAATTAGTATCATTCTCATATTATTTTATTATCATGCATTAAAACAACAACAACAACAAAAACTTCAAAACACGAGATATTTCACTATTTTGCGATAATTGCAGTTTTGTTGCCAGAGGTTACACACTTTACATCTTAAACATTTCAGGTCTGTTTATGGTTTGAGCAGTGGGATGACTTTTTGAATCTTCATACATTGTATGCAAACTTCGTCTTTATTTCGTAGTCCTTTTTTAAAAGAAGACTGTTTTAGAAGTGTGTGTAATTTGGAATTATATTCTATTTGAATTGGAAATTTAAACAGGCGAGAGTGAAATAATTTGTCACTTGTTCCTTGATTGTCCTTTAAATGGTACAAAATGTATAGTCTATATTAATGTATTAACGTTAAATAAACCCAACACCTGCCTGTATCATTTGCTTGTCTAAATCTAGGATTTCCTGTGTTGGATAAAGTTTATAAAACATACTTGACTAATGAAAATGCAGGAGATATGATGAGATTTGGCAAGATCGAAAATTAAACCTTCTTATTACACATTAGATGTTTGTAGAATAGAAATAAAGTTCATGAAAATATATACCCTTACCTTGTTTATATAACCATTCATTATTTTGAAAGTGTATACATCTTCATTCGGCATATGAGTTCTTCAAATAATGACAAAACAATAAATAAGAAAGTAATGAACCAAAATATGTCGCCTTCGTTTTGTTGGTCTTATATGTACGTTCTTAAAGAAAACATTTACTTTTGTTTTCAAATTTGTATCATATCAGGTGATTTATGCATAATGAAAATACAAGGGGGATTTATGACACAAATCACGTGAAGACTTTCGTTTTAAAATAAATAAGAAGCAAGTAATTTTTGTCATGAGTTAACAACTTGTTGTTTTTTCATCATTTTATTTATGGTACCTTATCATCTAAAGTAAGCACTCTAAATTACATGTTAAAGTATTATTGGATATAAAAACGCGGTAATTAAAAATGTCAAATGACACTTTGTAAATAAACTGTACGCCGTTTACTTATAAATCAGAGAATCATTATTATGCAGACTGCATGGGTTTTAATAGGCTTGTGTACAAAACAATCAAAGCAAACTAACAATTGTATACTGTAAAATCATTATTATTCGTAGGGAACGAATTTTTGTGGTTTTCATGGGTATGTCCATCTTGGAATTTAAGACCCGACGAAATTTTATCCCAACAAATACTTCTTTCTATATATTACAATATGCGTTGGTGCCTTTTCGGCCGCTTTTTGTGCCATGAATTTATACACATAATCAGGTTAGTTACAAATTAAATCCATAAATAGTTTAGGTTTGCAATATTTAAGAAACTTAAAAAGAAAATATTGCTGTCACAAATGTCATTGGCATATATATATCACGGGGACTATTTGATCGTTGTAGGCAACTTGGTTGTGTAAACCAGAATACTTGATATAATCGAGTAAATATTGCAATATGCGGTTAGTAAAAATGCGCGGTGTTTAAGTGTTAGATTACTTTGCATTAGGGTATTGATTTATATTTGTTACCAAAATGTTTTTGAAAATCCACGAATTTAAGAACCCACGAAAATGCTCGTTTAGATAAAACCACGAAATTTCATGGCCACGAATATAGGTGAATTCGCAGTATTCTTATACGGTATCTGTTAAACAGGCTTCAGTAAATATTCTGAAGTGTTATTGTCCCATATTTAACTTTCTTACGTTTACATAGACATTTAAATTAATAAAATTGCATTTAATTGTTAGACTTAAAAGGTATCTCAAAGTTTTAAATTACTGAATTTGTTTGTTTGATTGGTTTTACGTCACACCGACACAGTATAGATCATTTGGCGACGTTCCAGCTTTACTGGTGGAGGAAGACCTCAGATGCCCTTCCCTGAATTATTTCAAGCACGAACGGGCATCTGAGTAGAACCACCGACGTTCCGTAAGCTAGCTGGATAGCTTCCTCACATGAAGGAATCTAAAGTCCCTGTCGGGATTCGAACCCACAGCGGTGAGGGGGCAAGTGGTTTGGAGTCAACGACCTTAACCACTCGGCCACGAAAGCCCCAAATTACTGAAATCAACGTTAGATAACGTCACTTTAATACAAATAATAGTATGTGATGCTTTAAAACAAATGACGTTGTTTACTTTATTACTTGCTTTTGTAATTTGAAGTAGTAATTCAAATTAATTTTACTACTAATTATTGTCGATTTTCAGGACTGATCACTGATGCACATGGTACATTTACAAATTATTTACTTTGTCCATAGTTGTTGCGACTATTCATATAACGCAAGTCCATTCTAGTTGCCTTTATTTATTTATACAGGTCGAAATTTCATTCCTGTTCAATCAATAGTCCCAAACCATTGCGGTCAAGAGATTGAAATTGATGAGCACAAATGTGTCATCATATCGGAATGGTTATTATAAATGTTCTCCAAATATGTTAAATAAATCCGGAGTTACTTTATATATATCTCGATACTTTGAGTTTGAATATAATTGAATTTATAATCTTATAAGCATATATACGGTAACAGCAGGGCTGTATTATGTTGGTGTTAGCTATTCTGAAATAACTTCATTATTTATTCAGACGTATCAATAAGCATAAAGGCCTGATTCCCGTGTATGTTTCTCGCTTTTATATAAAACTTTGCAATGATTTCAAACAGTAGTCAGTTATGTAAGCAACGGTAAAGATAATGTGAGCAGACAGTTTGAATTGTACAATTGTACATTTGTATAGAAAATAACAGTGCTGTTAATCACACGTGTTCCCGTCTTTTTACCCCGGCCCGTTTGTTTCGTATGAGCTACAAAACACGTTTGCTTTTATTACAGAAACTTCATCCTATTAATATAAAATACGCAAATTTAGTCAGTACAATGCACATTTATTTTTACTAAAATAATGTATTTTATGTATTTAGATAAGACATATATTTGATGCCAATTGCCTTAAATCAATATAATAAAAAAAAGGTTTTGTCCTTTTATTTTGTCTTTTTCTTTGTAGAATGAATTTACTTTTATCTTCATTCTTCAATCATATTTGGCGCGCTGTGTGTATGTACGTTGAAGATACCACCTAAAGAATTCAGAAGGATGACTTATTTTTTTTTTTTCACTGGAGGATTTTCTTTTGAAATGAATAAAATATTCTTTTATCATGTCATGTAAACAAATATAGTATCCATCAACATTTTGTTTTTGTTACCTCCTCCTTTTTGATATTTACTTTAACTGGCATTCCAAGAGAATTGTGGGATTAATAAATTACTGATTAAAATGTCAAGTGACATTTCTTAGCTTATACAATATGTCGTTTGCTTTCACTTGTTCAAATACGATATTTCTTTCATACACACATTTTCAAATGCAATTAAACAAACTTATATTTGAACAATCTAATGTTTAATTGCATTACGGCTTCAGTAATCATCTATAAGCATAATTGTCTTATAACTTATTAGTTGGCTTCGTCTAATAAGTTCATCATGTTTATCAGATAAGATGCCAATTTATTTTCGAAATTAAATGGGATCACACAATTAAAAATGCTTAAATGCAAAATTAATGTGTACATAAATACTATTGCTTGATTCGGACTTTCTTACTTTGAACAATTTGACTCTGGTTGACTGGTTGCTATAGTTTTTTCTTTGAGAATTTTATGTAAAAGTTGTATGAAAAAAGTACAAAAATCTGTTTGGCAATATTTTTAATTTTGTCGTTCTGGACATCTGCAATAAACTCAAAATGTCAATAACTGAATCTGGTCATGTTGAACCATTTAAACGTATAAATTAAGTCGTGATGAACATCAATTGATGAACTTGACAACAGGTATATCTACAAGAACAACATCAAAACGTATCACCGTTCTGTAACTGAAAAGCAAAAAAAAAAAAATATAAATCCCGCGATAATAGGCACTGATAAAAATGAATTATTTTCACATTATAATTTTTCAGTCGCAGAAATATAAAGTTCTGCATATTTACCCGTCACCATAATTTAATTTTGAATAATTAAGTCAAACAAATAAAAGACATTTAATATTTCAAAGAGTTTAAGAACATAATGTTATACGATGTAATTGGGTTATTTACGATATTTTATCACAATTGAGTTTAGGGTCAATAAACTGAGGATCAAATCGCAGCACTCTGTTGAGTTTGACGCAGATAAAGGTCACCACAATATTTCCTTTTGTATTTTTAGGTCAATTGATCAAAGGTCAATGCTATTTTTGCATTGCAAAGTCCATGTAAAATAGATAACTTGTTTCAGGGATAAGTATGTTTTTGATTGTATTTCAATAATTGATAAGGAGAAGCTATCGTTGACATAAGTGTTAAACAGTACATAAGAAGAGCTGTGTTTATAAACACTTTCTTCATGAACAAAAAAACAAACTTTTAATTAAAATACAACCATTTCTATGGTTTATCTTTTAAAGGTGTGTATTGTATTAAAACGAAATAGTGTCATAATTTTTTTATTATTTAATATTTACAATTGACTATCAAAATTACATCAAGGGCATTACACATTCAATAGGTTTCAGTGCTCTTTGAGCTTAGACAATTGTCTCTTAACAAACTTAAGTCTGGCATAATTGTTTTCTTTTCAGTTTCTTCCATAAATAACATTGCTTTTTAGGTTATTTGAGTTATGACAAGTTCTTTAGATTCATTGAGTTTCTATTGTTTTTATTTTGGACTGGTTAAAATTTCGGCATTACCCGATCATTAATAGACAGTGTGAGCCTTTATGTCTCAGATTAAAGATTTAGAATGTGCATTACTAGTACATCAATCCTAAAGGGGGCGTAGAAAGTAACGCCACTATATGGTCTATAGAATTCAAAGCAACATAATGTAATTCTGAACATTGAAAATGGTTTACTTTGATGCTCACTTTGAATATAAGTACGTGTATGCATGTAGATATAAAGATTTAATAGTATATCTTTTAAACCTTGAATAATTATCATAAGTAAAACAAGAGAAGAATTTCAAATCAATTACATGATTGTAAAATATATTCAAGCAGAAAGAAGTACTATACAACTATCTCATGCTTGTACCTTAGAATTAAAATAAAGATTTCTAAAAAGAAATCAGGGATTAATTAATCATTGCAGCATATGCACTATTTGCATTATATTGCCAATGACCACAAGATACTGTGTATGACATATTGCCCTTGTTGCCTACCTTCTTAATGCTATTTTAAGCCATCTAAAGGAATCATAGTCAATGGTAATTTGACCATATATGATAATAATAGATAATGACATTTTGTTACATGGGTTATTTCTGATAATAATAGTTCCATAATCAATTGAATAGTATACTTCATATATGTTTCCAGTTTGAATATTCAGGTTGTAAACAAAAAAATTTCTTTACAGCTGCTGAAAGAATTCTTTGATTGAGAAAAATAGCAAAAAATATTTAATAATACAAAAAAAACATCAGAAACAATAAAGTCCTCTCAGTATTTCTACATTTTGCACTAATCAATTAGAATAAAAATAAAGT